GAGCAGCAGGAGCGACGGTGGCGACGACGGCAGCGCCATCTACGGGGGGGCATGCAGTGACGCACGTGACCGGTGTTTATCAACAACCGGTGACGCACGTGAGCGATGTTTACGAATACCCACCCCAATAGCAGCAGCCGGAGTACCTATCCCCCCCCTTCCAACTGCAGCAGCCAGTCCTCGCCCCTTTCGCCTCTCCCGCGCCTTCGACCGGAGCACCTTCGTCGGCAGGGGGGACTTTGCATGCGTGTGTTGTAAGGGACATGTCAAGTGAGTACCAGAGTGAGATTTCGAGTGGATTCGTAGGGGGTGAGGGGTATGCCTTGATGAACTCTGTAACGGTTGTGAGGGTGGAGCGTGTAGGAGATGAAGAATGGCTTGCAGTCTCCGGTGCAACTAACCACACCACCGGAGACCCCACGAACATGTACGATATGATCATCCCGCCCCTTGGTAGCGAGAGAGTGCTGATCGGTGATGGCAGGACGATGCGAGTGCTTGGAATCGGATGTTTAAACGTGAGGTTCATCTTGAAGGTAGCGACTTTTGCGTGAAGCTTACCCGAGTACGTCATGGAGAAGGAATGGAGTTCAATCTTTTCTCCCTCCACCAAGCACAGGGATTGCAACGTATGGCCTTGGACGACGTAGGCACCCATCTTTTCCATGGCCAATTGACCTTTCCCCGTGGCGAGAGGGGTTCGTCGCTTTGGGCCACACGCTTGCCGCCCAACTATGAAACGCCCACCGCTGTGCCTGTGATGCCTTTTCCCCCGGTGCCCACTTCCCGCGCTGCTGGTGTATCTTTACATGCGAGTGATGGTAGAGTGATGCCAGAAATCCCACCGGTGTTTTCCCCCGCTCCGGGTGTAGCATACGTTCCTTCCGCAGTGTCAGGTGTCCCGCCCGCTGAAAGCAGCGTAGTGCCTCCGGTGATGTCTGTACCTCATACCGCTCCCAGGGGTGTTGTTCAACCCAGCGTGTCGAATTTTCCGCCCGCTGCTGCCGGCGTCGTACCTTCCACGGTGTATGGTTTCCCGCCTGCTGCAAACAGCGTAGTGCCCTCTACTGTGGCCGGTTTCCCGCCCGCTGCTGCCGGCGTCGTACCTTCCACGGTGTATGGTTTCCCGCCTGCTGCAAACAGCGTAGTGCCCTCTACTGTGGCCGGTTTCCCGCCCGCTGCTGCCGGCGTCGTACCTTCCACGGTGTATGGTTTCCCGCCTGCTGCAAACAGCGTAGTGCCCTCTACTGTGGCCGGTTTCCCGCCCGCTGCAAACAGTGTAGTGTCATCAATTGTGTACGGTCTCCCGCCCGCTGCGAGCAGCGTCGTTCCTCCGGCAATGTATGCCCTCCCCCCCCCGCTAACAGGAGTGTGGCGTTTCGTTCCGCTCCTCAAGTGCCGCATGGTATGGAGTTGGTAGCTGTCCCCGGGCTGCCCTCGCCCGACATCTCCAATTTTCAGGAGAGTAATGACGATGATGACCGTGGATGCATTCCGTACACAGAGCATGGAGATTACGAGTGGGCTGTGTACCTATTGGAACAAAGAGAGGTATCCGAAGACCCCTATGAGTTTTTAGACTTCATGTTTGAGGCTATTTTCGCAAATGTCTTCGATGATGTTGCTTTCGCCGTCCCCGTCATGGCCCCGGGCAAGCGCCCTTTTTCGTGGGGAAACCCACCAAGATTATTGACGTTAACCTTCTCCACGTTTCGTGCTCCCACGCCAATGAATTTCTTTTGCGTGAGCTTGCGAAGCAGCACGGTCTCCGACTGACCGGTGTCCTGCACCCTTGTGGTGGATGTCTGCAGGCGAACGGGAAGAAGGCGGGCGTGCCTCACCAATCGGGCACGCGCGCGGAGCGGCCGCACCATCTTTGGCATATCGATATGTGTTGGCCGATGACGGCCTCGCTGGGGCAGTCTTTTTTCATGATCATGAAGCTGTACGGGATAAGGCGCAAGTCGGACACCCTCGCCTTCGTCAAGAAGTTCCTCGCCGACATAAGTGGCACCGGTGTCCCTCGTTCTTTCCGGATGGACAACGGGGGGGAGTTCGTCAGCCGCGACTTCATCGCCTTCTGCAACAACGCCGGCATCCGCCGTACGTACACGGCGCCGGGCACCCCGCAGCAGAATGGTCCGGCGGAGAGTGCGATCTGGCGAGTGAACAAGGCCGGCCACGCCGCTCGTCTCGAGGCACGCCGCCTGTTCCCCAAGATCGACTTCACCCGCGTCCCCGACTTCGGACGCGATGCCGAGGGACTTTGGCTAGAGTCGTGTCACTGGGCTACCGGCGGCTTCAACCGTCCCCGACCACGGCAAACGTCGGGTACAAGTCGCCGCACGAGCTCTTTACCGGTCGCCCGCCCCCGCTCCAGATTGTCCCGTTCTTACAGCCGGGGTACATGCGTGTGATGCGCGCGCGGAAGATGGATCCCCAGGCAGTGCTGTGCTGCTACCTCAACAACGGCGACGACCATCACGAGTCGGTGGTCAAGGTCCTCAAGCTTGCGACGGGGCGCGTGTGCATGACGAACAATGTCGTGTGGGCCTCCGACCGCACGCCGTTGCCGACCCCGCCGCTGGAGATGCCGGCGCCGGCGGACGAGGGGGGGGATTCGGATGTTGCCGCCGCACCGTTTCTAATCGAGTACATTTCACCGCCTCTTTTACCCCCCTCACCGTTCGCCCGATATCCCAATTCACCCGCTGCCATATCCTCACAGGCGCCGCCGGCAACTTCCACACCACCATCGCCGGCGGCGCCGTCTACCGCAGCCACACCATCGCCACCGGTCACCGCGCCGCCTGCGACGCCACCGTACACCACCACCGCGCCGCCTGCAACGCCACCGTACACCACCACCGCGCCACGTGCAACGCCGCTCGCCGCCGCGCCACCGTTTACCACCACCGCGCCGCTTGCAACGCCGTTCGCCGTCGTGCCACCGTACATTTCAACGCCTCTTTTACCCCTCTCACCGTTCGCCCGATATCCCAATTCACCCGCTGCCATATCCTCACAGGCGCCGCCACCTGCAGGACAAGGCAACGCTCCTGTCGACTCTCACCACTCGCAGCGTCGTCGATAGAGGGAGAAAGGAGATCCCGAGTTCAGACGGAGGACTTGAAGGAGCGGAGCCGGGGGGGCGAGAGCGGGGGGCACCAAAACAGAAGGACTGCGTGAAGAAGTTCCATTTGCGTGCGCCACATTGCTATGCCAACGACTTGCGCGTGCCCAAAACGTATAGGAAGGCTGTGTCCTCTCAACATGCTGACTTGTGGGTAGACTCTGTAGAGAGGGAGTTCAGAGGTCTGATGGAGGCTGGTACCTTTGAGGAAGTATTGTAGCAACCAGAGAGTGTCATCAAGGCCAAGAGGGTGTTAAATTGGAAGTCTGATGAGTATGGATAGCCGACTAGTGCGAAGGTGTACCGATTCAGGTAAAAGTCAATCGACGGATACCCTGCGAATCGGGTCCTCCTTAACACTAGTTTCAAGGAGTGATGCCGNTTTCATGCTTCTGCCAGAGGAATGTGGTAGATTGTCAGGCATGATAGTGAAGTTGAACAAGAGTCTGTATGGCCTTAAGCGGGCATCAANGTTCTAGCGCTCGCTTGTTGGCAGCGATGGCATGTAAGCAAAATCTTTCTCTTCGTCATTTTGACATCAAGCAAGCATTTGTCCAGTCGGATTTGGATGAGGATATTTTCATGCTTCTGCCAGAGGAATGTGGTAGATTGTCAGGCATGATAGTGAAGTTGAACAAGAGTCTGTATGGCCTTAAGCGGGCATCAAGGCAATGGCATTCACACTTGGCCACGTGTTTGACTTGTTTGAGTTTTATTCATTATCTGGCGGATACGTGTGTGTTTCGGTTGATCGAGGAGGGAGAGTGGTAGTGACTCTGGTAGTACATGTAGATGACATATTTTCGATTGGAGGGGAGGAGTAGGTGTGACCAATTTGGTAGGGACCTCAACACCATGGTACCGGTGAAGAGTCTTGGCGACTTGAGGTGGTACTCTGTACTTTTTATGAGAGGGATTGGGATGCAGGGATTTTGAAGATCTCGCAGCAGACGTACGCTGAAGAGTTGGTGATGGAATTTGGGGTAGAGTACGGGAAGGAAGTTCCTCTTCCTGTAGGGTTGAAGCTTTCAGAGTTTGACCAGGTTGAGGAAGTGTTATCATGGCCTTTTCGCGAGCTGATAGGATCACTGATGTGGCTGGCAACGCAAACGAGGCCAGATATCGCGAATGCAGTAAGAGCGGTAGCACGGTACTGTGCTTCTCCCAAAGAAATTCATTGGAGAGCAGGTCTTGGTATTTTGGGGTATGTGGTAAGGACTAGTGACTTGGGGATTTCATTCAGGAGGGGTAGTGTAGCAGGGTTGAGCATGGAGGTGTTCGCAGACGCAGACTATGCAAGCAAGGCTGCCGATAGGAGGTCTGTGTCAGGAGGATTGGTGATGTGTGGGGGGGGATGTAGTTCATGGTTTTCAAGGACGCAGAAGTGCGTTACGTTGAGCAGGACAGTGGCGGAGTATGTCTCCCTTGCGGATGTGATGAAGGAAGTGTTGTTTCTGGAGCAGGTATGGCGTTTCATGTTTCCGGTGTTCGAGGATAACCAGGGGGCTATTCACTTGGCGCAAAACCCGATTAGCAGCAGTAACTCGAAGCACATCGACGTAAGGCACCACTTTATCAGGGAACTGGTAAGCAGGAAGGAGATTTCGATCTTTGACGTGGAATCAGCCTATCAACATGCTGACTTCCTCACGAAGGCACTTCACGTCGGAGATTTTGAGTTTCATCGTAATTTCGTGATGAGTGTGGGACAGGAACGGTAGATTTGGATTTATTTGTGTTTGATCAAAGAACTAGTGTGGCATTGTTGTACATTTTTGCCTATGGTCTTCTCAATGAATGGTGCTCGAGGATGGGGGGCAATTGGATCCCTATGATTATCGAAGAACTACCACTGGAATCATCGGGGATGGAAATATGTTTCTAGCCCATAAGGCTGTTGTTGCAGATTTGAGTTGTGTTTTGGAATATTTTCTTGTGTTTTGGAGTTACTGAAAGATCATGAAGACATGGGATAGTCACAAGCAGGGGGGCTGATAGATATACTTGTAGCAATGCCAAGTGGTTGGTGCTGGATTTTCCCATGGAATGAGGTAGAGCGGAATACCGGGTGACATGTGTGGTACGTAAAATGGATTCCAGGCATGTACAAGGTACCCAGCTGCATGCCCCGAGCTTTTGTACCATGATTTTACCATGTGTTACCACCGTGTACAGACGGCACTTCAGACAGCAGTACGCTGTATGTAGTCGACCAACATTTATTTTGGTTAAGTGCGGGACAAGGGGGGTGATGCTGCTGCTGTAATCGAATTTGTAGGGTGTGGGCGTGTAGTTCCGTTGTGAGCACGCAAACGTGCTGCACGGATTGTAGGTGTAGTCTACCTCCTCGGGCTTGTGTACCCTTTTCTTACTGATAATGTGTGCGTGTTCTTTAGTCTAGATCTTCTGATGGCTCTATCGAGCGTTTTTGTGACCACGGACCGAGTCTTTGCTAGATTTTGGAACTAGCAACTGACACGAGTTTAATGTGAAGCAAACAACAACAACAACAACAACAACTGGGGGTATTCATATGCTCAACATCCACAGTCTACTATGTACACGACGTAAAAATCCGGCTTGATATCCCCCAACAACCTAACCGTCGCAAAAGTTACCCCTTCAACCATGGTGCCGCCAGTAGTTGACAGAGGTGAGCCCGCGCTTGACCCTGAGCGGGCGCCCTGCAGGGTAAACTGTATCGACGTGCTGATGCTGCCCTCACGAGTCGGTGTGCTCTCGTCTTGGTGGTGGTTGGTGTTCTTGTGTGTCATGTGTTTTTATTGTATGTGTAGTCTATGTGTGTTGTTGCTGTATGCGCGTCTTTTTGTTCTGTATGCGCGCCCCATGGTTTTATTGTTCGTTGTTTGCGACGCATTTATTTGTGGCGTTCGCCGTTAGTGCGCTGCTTGCCGGGCTTGCCGCGGGCATGTTCCCGTGCCTGGTATCCTCCCGTGCCGGTACGGAAGGGGCCTGGCATGTGTCTGACATGTTCCTCCGCGGTCGGTCCGCAGTCGGCAGCCATGGATACGAAAGATGCCATGGATATGGTGTTGGGAGGTTTTGAGACGTTCCGAGGCTATTCGATGTCCTGCCGTGCGGTGACGGGGAGGTCGATTTCCGCTCGATTTCCGCCGTCCGTAGTGGACATATGTGGGCACAATTTGAATATAAGTGGGTCAAATCAAAATATACCACATTAGTGCGTACATGAAAAAATTAGTTGACGCCGGTGGGTATACCCACCGCGATGTCGGACAGAAGTGGGCACTCTGGTGAGGCCCTGCGCGCCTCGGCGGTATTAGGGTCAAAGGTGTGCCTGAAAGTGGGAAAAATCGATGCCCGTGCTGTGTATGGTCCCTGGCTGTGTCGCGCAGGTGTCAGAATGGTAGGCCCAGGCCCATTCTGCTAGGAGCAAAAAGAGCAGATTTGGCCTCAAGGAGCATATGCTTAAGCAGATCCAATTTCAACATCTGCTTGAGCAGAACAGGCGATGTTCGAGCAGAACCACCTGCTCCCGGAGCAGAACCACTTAGACTATTCCTGGAGCATATCAATCGAAAAACAAGCAGAAGTGTCTATTTTGCTGGCATATCCGGCTGCAAGGCGTGTCAGAGGGTGCTGGAAGACGGACGGACATAATTGGACTTCAGTCCAGTAAAAGCACCTGGAGATCTCACCGTTTGCAGTGAACCTTGTTTCACAATGGAATGTTTTATCTTAGTTGTTGCATACACATACCATTGTAGGTCCACTAAGTGAATACTTGCAGCCAAGATTTTGAAAAAAGTCTGCCCAGCTGCCCAGCAGTCGCTANGGCGATGTTCGAGCAGAACCACCTGCTCCCGGAGCAGAACCACTTAGACTATTCCTGGAGCATATCAATCGAAAAACAAGCAGAAGTGTCTATTTTGCTGGCATATCCGGCTGCAAGGCGTGTCAGAGGGTGCTGGAAGACGGACGGACATAATTGGACTTCAGTCCAGTAAAAGCACCTGGAGATCTCACCGTTTGCAGTGAACCTTGTTTCACAATGGAATGTTTTATCTTAGTTGTTGCATACACATACCATTGTAGGTCCACTAAGTGAATACTTGCAGCCAAGATTTTGAAAAAAGTCTGCCCAGCTGCCCAGCAGTCGCTACGTCGCTGCACTCTGCACACCGCACACCGCACCACACCACACCACGGCACAACGGTTCGACGGTTCGACGGTCTGACGGTCTGGCGCCGCAGCTGCCGACCCCGATCCCTACCATGTCGAGTATCGACGTATTATGCGCTAGCTCTGGAGACGACGACAGCATCAGCAGTGATTTGTATGACTTGGAGTTGGTGGAGGTCACACAAGCGCCGGAGTTCCACCCACGGATGTATAGTTCGAAAACCCTGCCGCTACATGAACGCGGTGGAAGGAATGAATGAGTGATCCTTTGACATCCTTTCTGTAGAAAGAACATTTAATACGGCGTCAGACGAGGAGCAAATTGAGCCCAAAAAAACGCAAAACACGCTAAGTGAGGCACTACTAGCATTGAAAGAGCCAAAACATGATGCATTGTGCATAGATAGGTTGGTGACGGCATAATAACCACGATGAACAGTAATCTAGTAGAACAAGAGAGCATAACTGGCCGAAACAACATATGTATGTGAGGGCAGATCCACCCAAAAGGAGCAGAACACGAGCAGATCCACCCGAAAGGAGCAGAACACGAGCAGAATTGGCGCAAAATTACGAGCATGTGTGAGGGCATAACGAAGGAAAATAAGCAGAACAAACGAGCAGATTGAACTTTTAAAGCAGATGCTTGCCGAAAAAAGGAGCAGAAAAAAAAAAGAAAAAAGAGCAGAATGGGCCTGGGCCTACAGAATCGGGTTTTGAGTCGTTTGGGGGCCGCCTATGGAGTGCGCGCGCGCTGGATTTTCGAGTACACACTTTTGTCCGAGGAAAATCGGGGTCGGCAGAAACGTGATGTGCCACGGACGCTCCACTTAGCGTTCAAAAACCCCACATATAATTGTTTATAGTAATACACTATGTATCGATCACTCTGTATAAAGTTCATGACACAACAAATACGCCCCGTACTTCCCGTCCAAGGGATTCTGCTTCCACCATATAATAAGTCTACACCCACTGGATCGCGCAGACATGGAAACATATCATGCGTTGTAGTCCTTGCTGCGGATATGGGTGAAGATCGAAACGCGGGTGGGTGTCGACGTGTCAAGCAGTGAACGCCGACGGTGCGCGCGTGCGCATCCCACCGTACGACGCGTCTTGGCTCGGAAAACCTACATTTACCGGACCCGGTTCGGTGCTCCACGATCGTCGCGTTTGTTTGTGACGATTTGTCAATCACTCTCATTGTATAATGGAAGAGATAGATGGAAGTGATTATGTGATGGATTTGTTCTTGTGTCATGTTGCCTACAGCACTATGAACATTTTTTTTTTTTTTGCCTTCCGACAATTGCAGATGTACCTCAGAAAACTTTCACTTTAACGTCTCATACTCACATGAATATTTAACCAATACGAAGTACAACATCTGTAGGACATATTTCTACTGAACTATTATTAGGAAAAACAACACTATGTATGGTAGACGACACGACTACACCGCACACAGTGTTGAGGAGGACCCGATTCGCAAGGCGTTTGTTGATTGACTTTTACCTGAGTCGGTACCTTCACATATATATGACAATAGCTGGATACCGGTTCGAACCTCTTTGGGTGCACACTTTTTCTCCTGACTTGGACATTTTCCCACGGACACACTGTGTGTCAGTCCTGAGAACACCTCTTGGAGTCGATCCTACAAAGAAAGAACCTTGTGACACTTCCATCGAATTACCCATCCTGGCCACAGGAGGTTCACAGTAGTTGAGGGTAAATTGTGTGGGTGGAGAGCGTTAAGGAGAACCTGATTCGCAGGGTATCTGTCGATTGACTTTTACCTGCATCGGTACACCTTCGCAACAGCCCCTCAAGCAGCTAACAAGAAGCATTGTTTTTTTCCCCCTTATAACGGAAGAGATGGTTGTGATAATGTGATGGATTTGTTCTTGTGTCATTCTGCCTACAGCACTATGTGGAAAAATTAATCCACTAATCAGCCCAGTTTCCAGCGTATTCACGGTGGTGCTGCAACTCGCCTCGCCGTTGGAGTCTCGAACTCACGTCAGGGGCGTTGTGATCGTATTACAGTACAAAGATTAGCACGGTCAGGTCGGCGAAGCCAGTCGAAAAAAACGCTATCTCAAACCGTTAAATAAAACCGATTTACCGTACCACTGTTTGCAGCCTACTACGCCACTTATTATCGGGTGTTTTGGTGATGTATTAACTTCACTAGAGGTAGACGATCGCACTTCACATAGACGAAAGAGGGAGTGCTCAACAGCGGCTCCGATAGCAAGCAAGGTCTCCGTGAGTCATCGCGATGCCCCCTACCAAACGGCAACCTTACCAATCTGCGTGACACCAAATCATTCAGCACGTGTATCCAACACCAGTTTTCGCAGATCCACGAACACCCTCCCTGGTTCTTCACGCAAGTGACTAACCATCAACTGGGCAAGAACGCCCCTGGATACATCAGAAAAAAACAACATGGTAATATATGGAGGGGAAACCCGGCGTCCGGGCAAAACCTCTCGAGAAAGAACCTGCCACCACAATAACCGTCGCTATCACAGAGGACCACAACGGCCGCACTTATTTGGAAGGCCAAGGCGAAGTCAAGGACGCGAGGAACTACGTTCCCCCGGACGATGGTCTCCCAACGCCCCCTAGACTACTCCTGCCATTGGTGCACAGACCGCAACAGTTTGCGCCTTCCCCCGCATGGAAAACATGACCTCTCCCAAGTGCTAGAAACTGCTACAGCTCCGGCAAATTCATCAACTTGCGCCGGTGGTACTGCAGACTAGTCCTGTTAAGGGCCTTGGTTTGGAGGTCCGCTTGTTGCTCCGTTGTCGGAACGAACTTGACCGAAATATCCCCCGACCCAAACAATCCGCGGATGAAATGAAATCTCACGTCGATGTGTTTCGTGCGACCTGAGCTGAGGGGGTTCTACAGGAGCAGAGCAGCGTGGGCGTGCGTCAGAAGGTATAGCCAGGAGCTCTTCGACAGGCCGAGGCGACGGAGGCACTGCTGTACGGCTGCATAACATGGGCCCCACGTCATGGACAATACCGGGTGTTGCGGTCGATACATCATCACCGGCTGCTCCTGCGAGTTATCGATTACCATCGCAACAAGGGCACCTACTGGCAGCTTTCCTACGCCCAGACCCTGCAGAGGGTAGGGGGCCAGAGCGTGGAAGCTATTCGGCAACGAGGCCTGCTGTTTGCGGGAGCATTGGCAAGGCAGCCAAATGGGCGACTCCCGAAACGGTTGATGCGTGGCGAGCTGGTGAGGGGGAGGGCCCAGGAAGGGGGCAACCGGAGCAAAACTGGCAGAAGTGCCTGAAGGACGACCTCAAGATGTTCGAGGCAGAGCACGGATCTACGCAATCCAAGCCATGCTGCTTCAGAGTCCCGGAAACAACTTGGATGGAAGCAGCGAAGGTGGAGCGGGGTGTACCGTGGCATACGGGAATACTGCAGGGAGCTAAGAGGCTTATGACCTCCTGGCACAGAGGAGGCTAGCCGACAACGAGCGCTCAAACGAAACAAGAAGCTCGGCAACAGAACGGACGCGGTAACAACCACAGGGGTGGGAGGGGTGCAGCAGACGGATGAGACGGCGAGGAACGACAGGAAGCACGAAGAGGCTGACTGGGTGGCGCGAAATGCTGCGCCGGATTGAATTCCTTGATTGACTTACCTCCCCCTCCCCGGCACCAACCCCAACAACAACCCCAACAACAACAACAACAACAACAACAACAACAACAACAACAACAACAACAACAACAACAACAACAACAACAACAACAACAACAACAACAACAACAAAAACAACAACAACAACAACAACAACAATGTATGTGCTGCTGTTGCCGGGGCACTGCTGCACTGCTGGGTGTTTGCACTTTGTTCTGTCGCTCGCTTCTGAGTAGTAGTGTTAGCTCCACGCCATATGGTAGCCGAGGTCTGCTTGCGCCATGCGTGTTCCTGCTACATACCGTACCTCGGCAAATGTTCGCAGCACAGCAGC